TCGTGGTGGTCGATCGATTTTCAAAGTATGCAACTTTCATTGCTGCACCCTTACACTGTTTAGCAAAAGAGGCGGCCAAGCTGATGATGAAGAATGTGGTGAAGTATTCAGGAGTCCCGCATAATATCATCAGTGATCGAGACGCTCAGTTCCTGGGACGATTCTGGACCGAGCTATTCAAATTGTTAGGATCTAAGTTATACATCTCCACAAGCCTCCACCCCCAAACGGATAGCCAAACCGAAGGGATAAACTCGCTCCTGGAGCAATATCTTTGGCACTACGTGAGTACCAACCAACGAGATTAGGTGAAGATGTTGGACATAGCCCAATTCTCCTACAACTTGCAACGGAGCTCTACGTCCAACAAGAGCCCCTTCGAGATCATTACAGGAAAACAACCGTCAACTCCTCACCTTGGCTATTGGATATAATGGGAGTAGTCCGTCAGCATATCACTTTGCAAAAAAATGACATCGAAATGCAGATATTGCGCGGGCTTACTTGGCGAAGGCGGCCAAAAAGATGAAGTGCGCCGACTTGGGAAGGCGACCGCAAGAGTTCAAAGTCGGCGATTTGGTGTTGGTGAAGCTCCGACCAGCATCACTCTAATTCTTTAGGAAAAAGTACACAAAGGATTGGTGCGCAAGTATGAAGGATCTTTCCCAATTATCAGTAGGGTGGACAACGTCTCCTACAGGTTATAGCGGTTGGTGTGGCTCAAAATTCACAATGATTTTCACGCCAGCAACTTGAAAGTCTACCACTCAGATCTGCAAGATACTTCTCGAAGTGTTCCAACTCTGCTACCCCCCACCAGAGCCTCCTATGAGAAGCGAGTTGAAACCATTATGCGGATCGCAAGATAAAGCTACCCAATGGAGCTGAGCAGACCGCGTACTTGGTGAAGTGGCGAAAGCTTCCCCGAACTGAAACTAGTTGGGAGCCCGAAGACGCCCTACGACATGAAGAAGCAATCATCAACAACTACCAACAAGCGTCGATGAGGGCGTCGACAGTTTAATTGGGGGAGAATGTCACGAACGGTCATCGCGCACTCGCAACAACTTCATTCAACGAACCGTTCGTCACTTTTGCATGCTTGAATAGAGACACAGCAGCCTGTTTTGCCTTGGTTTTGTGTGTTTTGCTTGTAAAAATACATATTCGAACAGGTTACAGCGCTGTCGTGCAACCGCTAACCGTGCCGGGCCAAAAAGCTCCAAAATGGCTCCGTTTTCGCGTGCTGTGGGTTGTTTTCTGCAGCCCGCTACCGTGCCCAAAACGTCAGCCATCTCAACACCCTAGAACCCCCCCGGGTGGCACAAGATTGGATGGGGCTTCGGTATATTGTCGGGCGTTGAACAATCTTCACAAGTTCGCACATTTTCTTGACGGGAACTTGCCTTCATGCTTGGCACCCGTGAGCAACTGTTTGTGGACTTGCAGATATTCATTCAACCTTCCAAAGTCCTTGTTTTCCTCTTTTCTCTCTTTTCTCTTATGCACTCAAGGTGCTTACTGAATTGCTTGTAAAGCTTCCCTCTTCGCGAGACGTCGGGACTTGTTCGTCACTCGTTTTCAATCTAATCAACTTTCTGTTTTACAGGTCCTTTGGGACCCATACGAGATTGCAACTAGGCTAAACCTTTGCGGACGCATATGTCGCAAGGATGCCTCATGACTTAGGCAATGCCAGCTAAGTCCGAGAAGTTGGCGCAAGGGTGCGTCACGACTTAGGCAACTCAAGCTAAGTTCGCGTCTTTGCCACAAGGGTGCCTCACGACTTAGGCAATTCTAGCTAAGTCCATGACAAAACACTCCATCGTTCGCATACAAGCCTTTGCATAAGTATCGAATTCTTCAAGTTAACAATTCCCCTCACCAATGTGAGCTTTGCACAACTCTTTCGGTCGCTAAACAATCCATTCCACCTTACATGGTCTCATCCTTTACCAAGCGCCTCGCTTGCCTTGAGCACCATCAAGTATGGTTGCCAATGTTGGGCCGTAGCTCAAACTCAACCATCGCAACCTTTGTGCGCTACGCATTCTTCCCAGCTTGCTTGTCCTCGTAGTGCCTCTAACATGAAGGGTTGGCCATTCCTCTGAATGTCAATCTCAAATGCCCGCTCCCCCAAACGGTCGCACGTACTGGTTGCTCTCAACACAGCCTCGATAGGTCCCCCACGTTTGCATGCCAAGTGTTTCTATAAGTGCTTCTCCCGCTCTGATACCATCTGTCACGAACTTAACTGGTTTTGCCTAAGTCGTATGGCACCCTTGCGTGTCCGTCCGCAAATGTCAGCCTCCCTAAAACCTCCTATGGTCCCTTAGGACCTACAAAAGCGAAAACGGGTTAGAGAATACGTCTCACTCGGGATTCACAAGCAATCATTTCATAAAACACTTTATAGCCAATGTAAATTACAAACAGATTTTTACAAGCTCTGAACGGTTGCACAACAGAGGATCTAAAATGGTCCACTACAGACCGAACATCTCTCACAAGTGTTCACATGACACGACCTTTATTTACAAGTCTAAAACGACCATCAAACCCAACTAAAATGAGGTTGTTAAGCCTTTGACCGTCCCTCCACATGCTGTACAAAGCATGAATAAACCAAAAGCAGCGATTTAAAAAGGCGCTTGGGCACTCGCCTAGGTGCTCGGGCGAGGCAAGGCGAGGCCCGAGCGCCTCGCTAAACATCCAGGCGGCGCGATTCAAAAAGGCGTTGCCTGGGCGCTCGCTCGAGCCCAGGCACTAGGCGCTTCGGGCAAGCGCCTGGGTTAAACCAGGTGACCGAACTAGGATTTTAGGTCTGGTTCGGTCTCCAATGGTTAGTTGGTTCAATCGAACCAACTAAAATCGATATCAGCGACAACCCAACCCTAACCCTCGTTGTCATTGCTGCTCCCAATCCCGATCCCGCTTCTCGCCGCTGTCGCTGCTCGCAACTGCTGCTGCTATCGCCGCTCCCCGCTCCCGCTCTTGCTCCCACTGTCGCTGCTCGCCGCTGCCGCTGCCTCCTTACACTCCCGCTGTCGTTACCTCCTTACACTCCTGCTGCCACTGCCTCCTTACACTCCGGCTCCTGTTGCCGCTGCCTCCTTACACTCCCGTTGCCGCTTCCTCCTTACACTCCCGCTGCCGCTGCCGCTGCCGCTTCCTCTTTTCTCATTCAGCACCCCTTACACTCTTCCTTCTTCTCCTTCTTTATATTGTTAATAGTATATATAGTATACTGTTAATAGTATACTGTATACAATTAACAATATACTTTATACTGTTAATATTATTAGGTTTATTTGAAATTATTAATTTTCAATACTGTTAATAGATTAATAATATATTATTTTGATTTTAATACTGTTATTAGATTAATAATATGTTATTTTGATTTTAATACTGTTAATTTTCTTAATTTAATAGCATATTTTTATTTAAAATTTTAAATAATTATATTTATTAATTATATTATATATTTTTATATTTTAGCGCCTCGTTTCGCTCGGGCGAGCGCCTAGCGCCTTGGGCGTTTTTGGACCTTAGCGCCTATTGGCGCCTAGCGCTTTTTAAATCACTGACCAAAAGACACGGACATACATGAGCATTACATTAAGCACCCTGTTTACAGTTTTGTCCGTGACAAGACGAGGAGGGAGAGCAGCGCCGATCTCCACGTTCTCCTCTTCTTCTCCCTCTTCTTTCTTCTCCCTCGATTAATACCATCATTCTCCCTCTTCTTTCTTCTCCCTCGGTTAATACCACCCGATAGCGAGTGGTGACGACCAGTTTAGGACGGTAACGGGGCGAAAATAGCCCCAATCGATGGTATCGCCCAATAGCGGGCGGTCCGTGTACCGGTCTACTGGCGGACCGTTACGTATCACCCATACCAAAATTAAATTCTTTAGTTTTGACTAAGTCGTACAACACCCTTGCATGTCCATCCAAATAGGGTTAATCTCCCCAAAACCTCTTATGGTCCCCAAGAATATGCAAAAGAGAAGATGGGTTAGAGAAAGCGATTAACTCGAGATCCCACAAGTAACCATTTCAGCAAACACTTGATAGACAATGCAAATTACAAATATAGATTTCGAAACCTCTAAAAAATCGTGCTACAAAGGGTCCAAGGTTGCCCGTCGCGGCCAAAAGTCTCCACAAGTGCCCATATGACACTGCTGTAGAACAAGACAGCGAACCAGCCCTAAACAATACCCCAAAGGCCCATCCAGTCATGTGCCACCCGGGTAGTTCCCGAGTGTTGTGCTGGCTGACACTCCACACCACTCTATAGAGCTAAAAAACCCCCAAAATGACTGTCTGGATGGTTTGTTTTTGGGCAGTTTCACCTCTTCGCAATGAGTCTATACAACTTACGTTTACAAGCCTGAAATGAACACAAAATCCAACTAAAATAAAGTTAACAAACCTACTGCAAGCCCTCTACATGTGCAAGGCATAAACAAAACCGAAAGACACAGATATATACAAACATTACATCAAACACCTAATTTACAATTTTGTTCGTGACAGTACCGTGACATACCATCAGGTACAAGTGGTACATACCGATCTATTGATACGCCCACCGTACCATGTGTTAATACATCATATGGATCGGTACGTATTGTACCAGTGGTCGATCGATATAATGGTACCGGTAACACGAACCATGAATAAAATTACATGAACAATCTAAAGTTAGCAAATCTATTTGAGAATTTTATGGAAAAATAAAGAAAACCCATTAGAATGGTCCAAAAGGAGATTGCTTGATTATTATTTGATGGTCAAAAGGGGAAAAAATTAGATAAATTCTTTTTCTAGAGCAATGCTGCTTTTTTTTTATAGAGCATGCTGCTTAAAATACACTGCAAAAGAACTACTTGTACTCAGTTGACGTTCAAATGTCACAATACACACTGCGTAGAAAAATAGTGATGAGCCCAAAGTTCAAGAAACTAAAACAAATTGTTAATTTTGCTTACCGGAAGTTTCAATACCTCACAGAGCTTTGATAACTTTGGCTTCAACGAAAGATGAAGGTTCCTTTGAGAGGAACTTAATTTCTCTCTCCCGTTTAAATCAACCTCATGAGGCTTATTTACATCAGAAGTACCATCAGACATTGGAGACACATGTGATACATCCTTTCCTTGACATGTTAGTTGTGCTTCTGCAACATTTAATCCCACAACAAAATAAAGAATATCAAAATCGCCAAGAAAGATGACATATTGCAATCCAATTCTTAACAGTACAGTAATACCAGTCTCTGTCTGCAAGCTACTTGACATGAAAGCTGCTTTAGTCATGAAACTAAGAGATGGCTGATCATGATTTCCAGACAACAAATTGCTATTGCCTTCATCTTGTCTTCCTTGAAATGAACATTCCGAATATAGTGGATCAACAGTATTGCTGCTAACTACCTTCCTCCGCTTTTTCTCTGCTTCTTCATTTTCTGATTCAGGTGGCATTACAAGTTTGTCCATATTGTGAACCTTTCTACGACTTCTCTGACTATGAGATGGCTTAGAAATGTATCGCCATTGAGGATGTCTTCCTTCCAATAAATTTGACCAGAAACTGCACAGATCTTTATCGAATGAGGAGGCTCCTTGCTCACCAGCCAAAACTATATTTCTTGAATAGGATGCTCCACTCTGCTGGACCTTTACCAAAATTGAACATTTGCTAGGAATATAGGCTGGTATTTTTGTTAATATTTCCAGCACATCATTAAGCAGAAGCATTTTATCAGAGGAATTTGGAGAATAATTATCCAAGGATTGAAGTTGATGGAACTTTTCTAGTCGGTGAAAGAGGCATGAGGCACCCCAACTAAGGAGCGAATGGCAGACACTAGGGCTTACGTTATCCATATTGTTGTCAAGTATCATATCCTGCTTTGCAAGAATTAAAAGTTTTTCCTCTATTGTAAAGGATGAATATAGACGAAAAACAGCTACATAATCACGCTGTGATTCAATAGTTATCTTCTGAAGCGCACGTAGATCATTCAATGGATTCCAATCACTATCATAAATTATAATAGCGTCAATGCATGCAAGTTTGATGCTTGGTAAGCATGCACGATTTTCAATTAAAAAGACAAATCTTCCTCTCTCCTTGTCATTAAACATGTTCAGTGCAGCCAGTTTCTTTGACATTGCTATTCCACGATCAATACGCTCATAGGAATCACCACCGAATCTTTGACGAAGAAAGTCATCCAAAATATCACCAATTGAAGTCTTTCCAGCTCTGCCAGTTGACTATCATATTCAAAAGTTTAAATGAGAACAAATAAAGAATGCAAAGTTTAATAACAAAAAAGAAAGTTATTCTGACAAAATTAATGCCAGCAACATCAGGACTTCAAACATAAGTTTCACATTTAAAATATCATATAAGCAGGAAAAGTTTAAATGTTTCTTCGCCCTTAGGTTTTTCGAATAAATAATTCGGTTTAATCCACAATCATGGAAATGAGCAACAAAAGACTGAGATTTTTTTTAAAAAAAAGGGTACTCAGTTATGTAAACTAAACATGCCAGAGTGCCTCAGTCCAATATTAAAATGGAAAATAATTATTTGGAATCTTAACTGAATCCAAAATATAAAACCAATTCTATGGCAAATATATCATGATATGATCATTGAAGCAACACATGAAAGCACTAACCAGGGCTGCAAAAGAAGACAAGGCATTCTTACAAATATAATATTTTGTCATGTCATATAACTTCAGCAAGAAACTATGCTATTTATCAGACCATATAAACTATGCTATTTATACGTGAAAGCACCAAATAAAGAAAGGGCACATATTGCTCCAAGTGAATAAGGATCCCATCCACGGTACCAACAAATAATAATATTTTTAAGGTGTGGTTTTGCAGAGAAGCATCTCAAGTTGTTTGTGTAAACAATCAAGAATCAGCAAGCTCAGAAAAAGCAAATAAAGAGAAAAAAAAAGTCCTGTATCTGACCAGGTGGCCACCACTTCGCATTAGGAGTATCATGCAAAGCGCATATTAGGTTGGCAAAATATCAGCAAAAAGCAGGAAGGGAAGAAAAAATATTTATATATATCACAAAGGCAAACGATCTGCATCAATAGTGGTACATGGATCGGGAGTTTCTTACCCCCTCATTATTTGTTTTCTTTCTTTGTTCCCCTTTTTCTTAGTTTTTTTTTTTCCTCTGCCTGCTTGTCACGAACGGTCGTCGCGCACTCGCAACAACTCCATTCAACGAACCGTTCATCGTTGACACCTACATGTACAGCTGCTTGACAGCATGTTTTCTCTTGGTTTTGGGTCATTTTGCTTGTAAAAATGTAAGTTCGAACAAGCTGCAGCGTTACAAAGCGACCGCTCACCGAACCGAGCAAAACAGCCCCAAAACAGCTCCGTTTTCGTGTGCCGCGGGCTGATTTCTGGAATCTGCCTCCACTCACCAAAACGTCAGTCATCTCAGCCCCTTGGAACCCCTCGGGTGGCACAGGGCTGGATAGGGCTTCGGTATAGTACCGAGCGTTGAACACTCATTCGCAAGTTCGCACGTTGCCTTGATGGGAACTTGTTGTCGCGCCCGGGACTCGGTCAGCAACTGTTTGTGGGCTTGCAGCTGTTCGTTCAACCTTCTAAAGCCCTTGTTTTCCCCCTCTCCCTCTTTTCTCTTGTGCACGTAAGGTGCTCGCTGAATTGCTTGTAAAGCTTCCCCTCTTTTCGCGAGACGTCGGGACTTGTCCGTCGCTCGTTCTTTCGAACTAATCAACTTTCTCTTTTACAGGTCCTTCGGGACCTACGAGAGGTTGCAAGTGGGCTGATCTTTGCGGAGCAATATCGTAAGGGCGAAGCGCGACTTAGGCAACGCAAGCTAAGTTCGCGTCTTGGCCGCAAGGGTGCCTCACGCCTTAGGCAATTCCAGCTAAGGCCGTGACATGCTGTGTAACTGTACAGGCATATAGCATGTTTTGCCAACAGCATGTACTTATATTGGCTAACCATATAAGAAGATCAGATATTGTAATATTTTTATTTAGAGTTTGGAAGTGGATGAGTAGGGAGGTAAGAATAGTTGGGATTGGAGGAAAAATAAGAAAAAAGGAAGTACATATACACTTCGATTATGAGTATAGGTCATGTATGGATCCACATAAACTGAAAACTCACACCCACATCAAACAAGACAAGTTGACTACAGTATTAGATTGCTTATTTCTATAGTAACTGTATTTAGTTTAATTGGTCCAAACAACTTCATTGAGGACAAGCTCAAGCAAAGTGCCCAGTTTGAGGACAATCGAGTGGGAATTTAATTAGTGTTGGTTTAAATTAATCAGATAAATCTAATATAACTGCTAGATTTGATCAAGTGAGTATCTAATCGGGATTGTGCTCATTTTTATTGAACCAAAAGAGATCAATTCTCATCAGGAACCTAGTTGTAAAACCAGTTTCATAGATAAATTCATAAGATAAATTAAGATCAGGATGAGCACGTGATCTACAATTGGGTTCAGCAAAATCAATCAGTATCAGATCAAATGATTGCAATCAGTCCGGGAATACAACATAAAAATATAAAACATAAGAAATAAAAAAGAAAGTTCAGTAAAGAAAATTTGAGGAAAAAAATATTATATGCTAAACATTCCTTTACCTTCATAAATATTTAATTTTCTAAAATGACATATGAAATTGAAAACACAAAGTTAAAAACTATGTGAAATATAATCCTAAAAAATAAAAATAATGAAAAAAAATCCAGAAAAAAATCATTTATACACAAGGCTCAAAATTCATCCACTTGCAGTTTTAAACATAGCAACAGACCAATTATAACCATAAAGGCTCTTTAATCACCATGCAAAAGAAGTATCAGGTAATAATGAGACAAATTAAGGTGTCATTCAGAGAGAGTGCCTATGGATCTTGAAATTAATTGAAAGCACTGTAACACCTCACTTCTCTGTAGCAACATATATGGTAAGAGCAATAATTGTCCTCTTTTATCCTCTCACAATGTACTCTCTACTCTCTAGTCTCTTCTTTATTTTACTAACAATGGAAGTTTAAGAAAATAAAAATAGTTAGTAGTGGCAAATGCGATGACTGCAATGATAGTTGTAGTGAATAACAAACAAAATGAGGGAAGCATCTTCTTTGTTTCATGATGGGCTTCTGTCTTTTCTTCAACCTCAACTTCCTCTTCTTTTTTCTATCCTATTCTTTTTCTTCTATTGAGGTTGCCATATTACCTAGATTAACCAAAATCAACTAACTTCAATTAAGGTTGATGCATCTAATTCATTTTGACCCATCTTTGAGTAAAGCTAAGAATTTTGCTAAAATCAGGTGTATCAAATGGAAATCAACGAAATATCCAAACTATCTCTATATAAAGTTTTCGAGACTAAATTGCATAGAACTACCAAACTATTGTAACTTAATTGTTTGGCATCTAATTTTCACAGAAATAGTGTCATTAGATACCAATTCATCTCCTAGTTATCTTCAAGGTTGTTGAACTCATGATCTGGGCCGTTGGATCATGTGATTATGGCCCAGATCAGACCTCACGAGTCCGGTCAGATGTTGTACTATAATAAGGGTAGAATCATCCCGATTTGCATGTTGACTTAATAAGTTCGGTCGACTCATTAAGATTGGTCAATTTGGATGAGTCGACTCGAGCTGATTGAATCAACTCAGATGTATATAAAAGAAAAAAAGAAAAACTCACCTTAATGTCGAAGGAGCAACGATACTACGAGACACAACATGCCTTAATCATTGTTGTCGCTAGAGACGAGAAGCTCGTCGACAGCCATTCAACGTTGTTGATCGCCACAGCTGCCTGCAGAAGCGACAAGGAAATGAACCCTATCTGTTGCTGTGGCCCGTGAGGGGAGCGAGTTGCAGCCTCCCTACCTCGATGATCATTCAACATTGCTTATTGTTGCAAGAATCGTTTCTCCTCATCTCTCCTACGTCTCATCTCCTTTCCTTTCTTCTCCTACCATCTTCTTCCTTCTCCTCTCCTCTCCTCCCTTTTTTCCTCTCTTCCTGTCCACTCTCCTTACTTTTCCTCTCTTCTTGTCCCCTCTCCATACTTTTCCACTCATCTTCTCCCATCTCTTCTCCTTTCCTCCCCTCTCAAGGCTGCACAGCGACCACTCATTGAATTGGGCAAAACTGGGCCAAAACTATCCAATTTTTGGTTCGATGCAAAATGCTAACCATCTCAAACCCCTAGAACCCCGGGTTGTCACGGACAAACTTCTAAAAAGAATGTTTGATGTAATGTTTATGTATGTCCGTGTCTTTTGGTATGTTCATGCTCTGCACAGCATGTAGAGGAACGACCGAAGGCTTAATAGTCCCATTTTTAGTTAGGTTGGTGGCCGCTTTAGGCTTGTAAATAAAGGTTGTGTCATGTGGACAGGTGTGAGAGATTTTCGGTCTGTAATGGACCATTTTACCCTTTATTGTGCAACTGTTCAGAGTTTGTAAAGTTTGTTTGTAATTTGAATTGTTTATGAAGTGTTTTCGGAGATGTTTGCATGTGGATCCCGAGTGAGGCGTTTTCTTTATCCTGTTCGCTCTTTTGGGGGTCCTAAGGGACCATGGGAAGCTTCGGGGAGGCTGACCTTTGCGGACGGACACGCAAGGGTGCCGTACGACTTAGGCAAAACCAGTTAAGTCCGTAAAAGATGGTATCAGAGCGGGACAAGCACTCATAGAAACACTTAGCATGCAAACGTGGGGGACCTAGCGGGGCTGCGTTGAGGGCAGTTAGCACACGCGCGACCGTTTGGGAGAAAATGGGCATGGAGATGTAGGGAAAAGGAGTCGCTCAGAGGAGCGGGCATCTGAGATTGGCATTCAGAGGAATGGCCAACCCTTCGCGCAAGAGGCACCACGAGAACAAACAAGCTTGGAAGAATGCGGAGCGCACAAAGGTTGGGATGGCTGAGTTTGAGCTACGGCTCAACTTTGACAACCATACTTGATAGTGCTCAAGGCAAACGAGGCGCTTGGTAAAGGATGAGACCATCCAAGGTGGAATGAGTTGCTCAGCGACCGAAAGAGTTGTGCAAAACTCACAGAGGTGAGGGGAATTGCTAACTCAAAGAATTCGGTACTCATGCATGGGCTTGTATGCGGACGATGGAATGTTCGCGGCCATCCCAAGGCGACCGAAACTCGGCGCCATGGAGCATTGAAACTTTCTCTTTGGCATGTGAAGGATACGTCCGTAGGAG